TCTGGGGGCTCCCTCCCTGACCACCACCAGATCTGGGGGCTCCCACCCTGACCACCACCAGATCTGGGGGCTCCCTCCCANGGATGGCCTGGCTGCCAAAATGCTCTTTCTCTGTTGAAAGGTGCCCGGGGATTTAAACACAGCCTCAGGGAGAGGCCCCATGCGCTGTGTTCCCTTCTCTCTGCTTAGTCATAAGGGGGAGTTGAAGCAACAATGGGGACAGCTGTCCTGAGGTTGGGACGCCAGCGAGAAACTGCAGTGCACCTCCTGAGCCCTGGCTGGGTAACCAGGGGAAAAGGGGGGCTCTGAAGGGACTGCCACCCCTAAGCCCCCGCAGGCCACGACAGGCTGGCACGCTGAAGGCGGAGCACAGGAGCTGGGGCGTCATNCAATGGGGACAGCTGTCCTGAGGTTGGGACGCCAGCGAGAAACTGCAGTGTACCTCCCGAGCCCTGGCTGGGTAACCAGGGGCAAAGGGGGGCTCTGAAGGGACTGTCGCCCCCGAGGCCCCGCAGGCCACGCCAGGCTGGCACGCTGAAGGCGGAGCGCAGGAGCTGGGGCGTCACGGGGGCTCTGNAGCTGGGGCGTCACGGGGGGGCTCTGAAGGGACTGTCGCCCCCGAGGCCCCGCAGGCCACGCCAGGCTGGCACGCTGAAGGCGGAGCACAGGAGCTGGGGCGTCACGGGGGGGCTCTGAAGGGACTGTCGCCCCCGAGGCCCCGCAGGCCACGCCAGGCTGGCACGCTGAAGGCGGAGCACAGGAGCTGGGGCGTCACGGGGGGGCTCTGAAGGGACTGTCGCCCCCGAGGCCCCGCAGGCCACGCCAGGCTGGCACGCTGGGGCGTGACGGGGGGCTCCAGAGCCAGCGAGCCGGAGGGGAAGGGTGAGGGAGACACAGCTTCAAGCTGCAGGCGCCAGCGCCCCACAGCTCACCTTCCTCCCTTCACCCTGGGTGTGTTTCCCTTTGATTACTTTCTTTCAAATCCTCACCTGAGGAAATGGCTTTTTTCACTGATTTCAGAGAGAGAGGGAAGGTGAGGGAGACAGAGAGGAACACTGATGTGAGAGAGAAGCACTGACTGGTCGCCTCCTAGACACACCCCGACCCAGATGAACCCGCAACCCGGGCATGTGCCCTGAGCGGAAATCGAACCCGCGACCCTTCAGTGCATGGGACAGCACTCCAACCCCTGAGCCACACCGGCCAGGCCCCCTTTGATGACTTTTTAAAAAATTATGCACCTAGTGCGCTGGCTGGTGTGGCTCAGCTGGTTGGAGCACCATCCTGTACCCCAAAAGGTTGCCAGTTCGATCCTCGGTCACAGCACATACCCAGGTTACAGATTCAATCCCTGGCCGGGGCGCGTGTAGGGAGGCAACTGATTGATGTTTCTCCCTCACATCCAGGCTTCTTTCTCTCTCTCCCTTCTCTCTAAAATCAATTTAAAACAGTGATGCACAGAGCACAGTCTAATGCCATTGATTCTGGGCACCGCACGAATATATGAGCCATGTTCAGAAAAGGCACTAAGCGTCTCGACTCTTCAGCCGTGTCCCGCAGAGCCCTCGGGTTCCGCCGCGGTGCCCGAGGAAGCTGTGGATGCCCAGGAACCCCAGGTACAAGGGGAGGTGTCAAGCCTTGAGGGGACGGCTGGCCCTCTGCTCAATTCCCAGATACTTGTACATCTAAACAGCTTTACGAGAGTGCCCTACAGAGTGCACTTTCTCAGAATCACAGCACTGCTCTCTGTTGAAATGTCAACATTTAAAATTTTCGGCATCAGAGCCAGAAAGGGTTCTAACTGCAGGCGCTGTTCCCCGCCCCCACCCCCAC